AATGGCAAGCGTATCTTCTCTTCCAGGTTGGCTGATCTCGTACGGCGAGCTTTAAACTAGACTCGCCGGGGGAGGGGGCTGCAGGAAGACGAGGAGACGCCATCAGGGCAAGGGGTGCAAAGGTAAGTAATGGGGGTCTTGCCATCAGGGCAAGGGGTGCAAAGGTAAGTAACGGGGGTCCTGATGGTCTGCCTAATCGGGGGGTGGGGGGACACACAGTCTTGCAAGGCCTTAAATGCCTGTACACCAATGCTCGTAGCATGGGGAACAAACAGGAGGAACTCGCCCTCAGAATAGCTAGTTCAAATCCAGATGTCGTAGGGTTAACAGAGACGTGGTGGGACTCATCCCATGACTGGGCAGTTAACATTAGGGGCTATAGGCTGGACAGGCGGGATAGAGAAGGCAGAAAAGGGGGGGGGGGGGCACTTTATGTCAAGGAGCACTACACATCCTCTGCCAGCAGTATGGGGTCAGGGGAAGGGCGAGCTGAAGTGCTCTGGGTCAAGATCCAGGGGGGGCAAGGCGAGAGGGATTTGACGGTGGGGGTCTATTACAGACCCCCCAATCAGGAGGAGGAGCTGGACAGGGAATTTTCAGGCCAGCTTGCGGAGACACTAAAAGCAAGGGATGTAGTTGTCATGGGCGATTTTAATTACCCGGACATCTGCTGGGAGGAGCAGTCAGCCGGGACGGACCGCTCCAGGAGGTTCTTGGCCGAGTTGCAGGACCTCCACTTGATTCAGGAGGTGCACAGTCCCACCAGAGGAGATGCTCTGCTGGACCTGGTCCTGGCCGCAGGCGACGACCTGGTAAGAGGCCTCCAGGTTCTTGACCACCTGGGCAATAGTGATCATCGCGTGCTGGAATTCACCATCCAGCGTAGAGTGTCAAGGGCCCGCAGCAAGGTGGTGGCCCTAGACTTCAGGAGGGCCAACTTCAGTGAGATGAGGAGATTAGTGGGAGAGGAACTGGGGTCCTTGAGGGCAGAGGAACTCAGCGTCCAAGAGGAGTGGTCGTTCCTTAAGGAAACGATACTCGGGGCCCAAGGGGTGTCCATCCCGACAAGAAGCAAGGCGGGCAGGAGTGTCCAAAAGCCCCCCTGGCTCACCAAGGGTGTCCGGGAATGCCTGCTTGCCAAAAGGGTGGCGTACGCCCGGTGGAAGGGGGGTGTAATCTCCAAAGAGGAGTATACCTCCTCTGCTCGGGCCTGCAGGCGGGCTGTTAGGAAGGCCAAGGCGGAGATAGAGCTCGGATTAGCGTCCAGGATTAAGGATAACAAAAAGTCCTTTTTCAAATATATTGGGAGGATGAAGAAGGCGCCGGGTAATGTGGGGCCCCTGCAGGATATGCGGGGCAATCTGGTGGTTGCGTCAGAGGATAAAGCGGACCTCTTTAACCAATTCTTCACCTCCGTTTTCTTGTGCAGGGACCGGGACTTCCCTGCTGTGATAGAAGCCGGACGCGAGGGGATCGCCTTCAGACCTCAGGTTGGGGAGGACCGGGTTAGAGAGCTTCTGGAGGGGCTGGACGCGTTCAAGTCAGCGGGTCCGGATGCTCTCCACCCCAGGGTGCTGAGGGAGCTGGCTGGGGTTATTGCAGGGCCCCTGGCACGGCTCTACGAGCGATCGTGGTGCTTGGGCCAGGTGCCAGACGATTGGAAGGTAGCTAATGTGGTCCCCATCTTCAAAAAAGGGAAAAGGGAGGACCCGGGCAATTATAGGCCCGTCAGTCTTACCTCAATCCTGGGGAAGCTCTTTGAGAAGATCATCAAGGAGCACATTTGTGATGGGCCGGCATCCGAGATGATGCTCAGGGGCAATCAGCATGGATTTATTAGGGGGAGATCATGTCAGACCAACCTGATTGCCTTTTATGATCAGGTCACAAAGGCCATGGACGCAGGTGTCGCGGTGGATGTAGTCTTTCTGGACTTCAGCAAGGCCTTTGACACCGTCTCTCACCCCATCCTAATTAATAAACTAGGCGACTGTGGCATAGATGCCTACACAGTCAGATGGATTGCAGATTGGCTGAAGGGTCGCACTCAGAGGGTGGTGGTGGATGGATCATACTCGACTTGGGGGGAGGTGGGTAGTGGAGTCCCCCAGGGCTCGGTCCTGGGGCCTGCGCTGTTCAATTTCTTCATCAGCGATCTTGATGTTGGGGTGGAAAGCAACCTGTTTAAATTCGCTGATGACACCAAAATTTGGGGGGAGGTGAGCACGCTAGCAGGGAGAGAGAGATTGCAGAAGGATCTGGATAGGTTACAGGGGTGGGCAAACAGGAACAGGATGTGTTTCAATACGGACAAGTGCAGGGTGCTGCACTTGGGTAGTAGGAACCAGCAGCACACTTATAAGATGGGGAGCTCCCTACTTGAGAGCACGGAGGTGGAAAGGGATCTTGGTGTCATTATTGACTCCAAGATGAACATGGGCCGACAATGCGAGGTCATGGTTGGCAGGGCTAACCGGACCTTGTCGTGCATCCACAGGTGCATCTCGAGTAGAGCCAGGGAGGTGATCCTCCCCCTCTATGCGACGCTGGTCAGGCCGCAGCTGGAGTATTGTGTCCAGTTCTGTGCGCCCCATTTCAGGAGGGATGTGGACAACATGGAGAGGGTCCAGAGGAGGGCCACCCGCATGATCCGGGGACAACAGGGCAGACCCTACAGTGAGAGACTGCGGGACCTGAACCTATTCAGCCTCCACAAGAGAAGGCTGAGGGGGGACCTGGTGACCGTCTATAAACTCACTAGGGGGAACCAGAAGGGTTTGGGGGAGACGCTGTTTCCCCTAGCCCCCACTGGCATAACAAGGAGTAATGGGCACAAGTTGATGGAGAGGAGGTACAGACTGGACATCCGAAAAAACTGCTTCACAGTTAGGGCGGCTAGGAGCTGGAACCAACTTCCAAGGGAGGTGGTGCTGGCCCCTACCCTGGGGATCTTTAAGAAGAGGCTGGATACTTACCTGGCTGGACTCATTTGAGACCCGTTTTTGTTTTTAGGGTGAGTTTTTTGGGTTGTTCTCCCGCCCTGGCGGGGGGTCGGGCTAGAAGATCTATTAGGTCCCTTCCGACCCTGAAACTATGAAACTATGAAACTATGAAATAAATATTGCAGGAAAATAACTCAACCCTGAAAACTACAACAGTAAACAATGAACTGTACAACCTTCATGTTGGTGCAAAGATATTTACATCTCAAGCTAACATCTGACTCAGTAGATTTGCAGTCTCTGCAACATGCATGTAAACTGCATGCAGATTGGTGTAATGTTCCAAAACTGATTAAGTTTAGATTTTAGTATGTTTCATGGTATTACAAAATTTTATTTAACACAGTTGCTCAGGTTTTCAATTCTAACAAATTTTCTGTTGAAAACTGGTCAGACATTTGCATATCCAATCCTATATTGACTTGAAGTTACTTCATGTCTATAAGTAACTTTTTTCATGGGAGTAGCCATGAAAAGCCATGAAAAGCCTTTGAGGCACCGCAAAACGCAAGTGCGCGTTTGTGTGGACACAGCCTATGAGTTCAATGAAGCTACTTGTAGGAGTAAAGTTACTGACATTCCTAAGTATTTTCAGGATCATGCCCTGAATTAGTATCTTTTGGCAGAGTGAGCTTTATTCTACAAAGTATTTTTGGTAACATTTTTTTCTGTACAAATAGAATGGGTGGTGCGATTGGATCACTGTCACACACAGGTTCAGGAAACTACTATCAAAGTTAGATTGAGTCTGGCTATATTAAAGCCCTAATATCTCATGAAGCTAAATGCTTGCTAAACAATCTGGATACCCATTAAAGACAATAATGTTTAAATTGAATAACTGATGTCTGTTTTTGATAAATCACAAATTTAAATGAGAACATATAGGCATAGCCAACGTATAAGTTATTTACTAATTTTTCAAAAATATACTTCTCTTGGCATGGCTACATAGACTGTGGAAAATCATCTTTTTGGTTTTTATTTGGTGCAGAAGGACATTATTCTAAATTTAAGACCTTAAGCCCAGCACATCTGCATATGTGCTGAAAGTTAACATGATTACCACAATAGTAGCTTCAGTCAGGAAATAGAACATCCTTTCTAAATCCAACAGTGCTGCAAATTTGCAATGAGCATTGCGTTTTCAGCTTCAGGGAATATTTCTACTATATCCCTGTTTAAGGGTGCCACAAGTGTGTGCCACCCAGGAATGGCTCTAGGAAGGTAGCAGGCAGTTGAGAATGCCAGAGACTGGGAGTTATCCACTCTTCCTTACATTTTATGAGGAGCACTCTGGGAGCTGCAATTCCATAATGTGCGCATGTTAGATGTAAGGTGGCCCCAGCACACCAAACCACCATGTCATCACAACTACAGCCTGAAATGTGTTAGGATTTTCCCTCTAGTGGGAAGACAAAGTAATTAAACTTCCAAAAAATGTTTTTAAACAAAAGAATTCAAGTTTTCCAGATAGTGCAAGACATGGGGCAGTTCCCAACAATATCTGACCAGCAAAGGAAATTAACTCAGGACTATTTCCCAGGCGTGCTGTGTCAGTGTTGTTGCTGGCTTTGCTTTATAACTACAACCCTGATGATGGCAAGTGACTATGCCCCAGAGGCTGACAGGCAGCTAATGAGTGACTCTTCTTTAGCCTTTCAACAATCCTCAATGTATGCCAAAGCTGTATTTGTTTCTGATTTTTCACTTCTAATTACAAAAATAGGACTTACTATAATCATAATAACAATACTAATGGTACAAAATAAGTATTATAATTATATACTTTTTGGCAAATCATTAACAGAAATACCCAAAAATACCCCATTGGAATAAAAAAAGCTGAAGATGCACAAGTATTAAAAAAGACAAAGTCCTTTGTAAAAAAGAGGGGAAAACAATTAGCAAATGGTCATATTTCTGTAAGGCAACACATTACCTTTAGTCTGCTATCTTGGAGATTTCATTCAGATTGTGTAATTGTTTAAGAAAATGTCAGAATTTTGCTTGCTTGAGTTTATCAATGTGGTAACAAAGTTTCAGTGCTGGTCCCAATTTCAGCCCCAGGTATTTCATGATCATGTCACTTTTCAGCAACAGCAAAGCATTGCCATCAATCTCCTAGTTTAGAGAGAGAAAAATCAGGATAAATCACCCACAAACAGTGCTGAAAGAGCAAGAAAGCAGTTGTTTCAGTGAAACGGAGGTATTATCCAGACACATTATTTCATCTCCACTAGGATGAAATTTCTTCAACTTGAATTTTCATTACCGTTTCAAAATTTGGAGGTGGGGAAAGAAAAAAATCCCAAGGAATTTTTCACAGTGTTTCCTTTTGTTCAAACAATTATAAGGCTTGTTAACATTTTTCAAATTTCAAGTTTTGAAATTAAAAACAAATCATTAACAATAATTTTTAAGACCAAGTAAGTAAATTCCTGCTCCTTTTTTGGACTACTTCTAATTTTGAAAAAGATGCAGAAGATATGAGATCTTGTGGACTGATTACAGCACTGGGCTTCAGAACTCCAAAAGTTAGTCTTTGCACTGTCACAAACTGCCTGTATACTTCAGAGCAAACCACTTAATGTTTTCCATCTCTGTTTCTTGTCTGTAAATTGGTGCTAACAATAACTTAATCACTTTATCAGATTTTTGTGGGACTCAAATTAGCCAAAGGGCCAAATTTATCCCTGATATAAATTAATGAAATTCCCATGCAATTTAGCTGCTTAACTCAGGTCCAGTGACTTCAAAGCCCAGCAGTGATCAGCAGCGTGGCCACTTTCTAATTAATTCAATTAGCAATTGGCACCCTTCATTCCAGCAATTCCCTTTCCTTCCAGGATGGAAAAAGCTTTCTCCTTCTCTCTCATTCCTGTCATTATTAGGAAGCTGAGACAAAGGAAGACATAACATTATGGTCAAATATGGTAAGATCAACATTTGCATAATATAAAGAAAAATAAATTCCCAGAACTTAAAAGTACTGTCAAAGGTTTGGAGTCAATTGTGTTTTTTATTTGTGTTCGGTTGAGTGGAGTTTTTTATATCTTTCCACTTTAACATTATTAGCAGGTAAGGTCAAAATTAAATTACATGACAAGAGTACTTTCCAAGAGGCATCATTCATATTTAATTAAATATCCTGCAATAGCTATGTCCTTATGAAGCAAAGCATGCTTGCTTGATTTCTCTTTATTAATAGTGTGTCAGCTCATCTAAATAAACAAACAAACAAATGCTGCAGAAATCTACAGCAAGAGTCCAAAACTCTGCAGTAGCACTTGTGGTATAAATCAGTGAAGACAATGGAATTGGGTTGATTGACAGGAGTTGTGATCTAGCCCACTGTATTTCACACCACTGCTGTAGACCACGGGAGGGCTTTAGGGGGAAGTGAAAGCAACACATCCTATAGCTGTCTCAAGTATGAACTGCAAGGCAACGACAGGCTTTGGAATGGGTGCATAGTTTCTGGCTGCAATTGAGAATGTTCTTGGGTTAAGGCCTGTAAGTTCCAGGCATTTTTCTTCAACATCTTAAGTAGGATCTCAAAAGATGCTAGACATAGATGGTTGCCACTGGACTCTGCCATGGGCGGATCTACAATTTTGAAAAGGGGGCTGCAGATGGTGAGGTGCCTCATCACAAGCAAAAACAACACACACATTTCTCCAGATAAAAATAAACAAGAAGCTTTCCTAATATGCTAGGAGCCTCAGGCTATATTATTCAGTTTAAGATTGAAGCAGAAACAAATATAAATAACTTCATCAGAATGAGTAAAAACAAATTTGCAGGGCTGTGAAATAGGAGCTTCATTACCAGGATCAGCTAGTAGACAGCAGCCTTGCAGAACAAAGCCTAGCTTGATTGGCAGAGCATCAAGACCATTGAAAAAAAGAAATGGGTTTTTTAACATTTGTGGAATGAAGAGTTTAGAAGGGATCAGGTAGATTACAAAGGCCTTGAAGTCAATTGATTCTCAGCTCTGCCTGACTTGCATCACCAGGTACATAAGGCAGAAGACATTTTTTCCAACTAGTCCTGCCCTGAGTCAAGTCCTTAATCTGTTTAGGCTGTTAATCTGTAAAACTGCTGTTTCAAACCTGAATGTACTGTGAAGGATGCTCTTCTGGGTCAACTTGTTTTTCTTATGGCTTGGGCTACTGAAAATACAGCTTGTTTTGGGGAGCTGGCTATCTGGCATTCTCAGAACATGGCCCAGTTAAGTCAGTCATAACAGTTCACACAGCTCAAGATAATTGTGCCTTTTCACGGATCTGGGCATTCTTTATTTTGTTTGCCTCTTTTATGTTGAATATTCAGTGCAGGCATCACTGAAAACAGTCTAGCTTCCCTTGGATAGACTTGTTGCTCTTTTATGACTCCAGTCTGCATAGGAATATACTTAGGACAATATAACTAAAATTCATAGCTTAGTGCTGAGGCTGAGGGCATTAGGGGTGGAGAGTACTGGTGCTGTCTAGCCCACAGTCCCAGGAAGTAGGACATATTTGTTCAAACCCTCTCTTGGCTGAAGGAGCCCTAGAACCTGGGGTTTCTGCTTCATTGCAAGTGCTCAAATCACTAGGTTATTGGGTTGAGAAGTAGGTGGCACATCCTCCACTAATCAAATAGCCACCACTTACGCTTTTTCTGTGACTAACATCTTGCACACATGATGTACACACCTTCCCAGATAGAATGAGGTTGCCATAGAGCAAGCAGCTGAAGCAGATGTCTTCTGAGCATGCTATTTACCCACTGAAATTGCACCCAAGTGTTTAGCAGGTCTAACAAGGCTACTGGCCTAGTGATGTATTCAAGAACAGATATTATCAGCAAAATCCAGGTCTCCACGCACTCTTCTTACCCACAGAAATGCAGTTTCCATAACAGTGCTCTATTGCATAGCATCCTTGCCTAATTAAAGAGGACACATCCTTGCCTAATTTCATTGGTAATATCCAACCAATCAGTTCCTGGCTGCAGCTCACAGTGCATTTGGCATTTTGATCAAGACTCTGGAAGTTTTGGATAATTTAAGGAGGGAATCTACAGATTTCTAGTATGTCCACATTATCAAAGGCTTCCATATTTAAAATGAGTTGCAGCTACTATTAATTGCTTTGTTTGATGAAATTGCATAGTCTGAAGATAGGAGCAATACAAAAACAAATGCAATGGAAACAAGTTTGTTCTAAAAAATCTGTTGTCAACAGCACTGTGGATTCTATTCAGAAAAACGGCACCAGTTTCCCTGAGACTAGCAGTAGCATAATTCAACACCAGATTTTACAATTACTTAGATCTCTTTATGATGACTCCTTTTTTCATTCTTCTGGGGTTGACAGATACTTATCAACTGTCTGTCTCCGACACCCGATTGAAGAGTTATAGCTCCTTGCTTTGAGCAGACCTACAGTTATATTGTGCAGACTCCAATCTGCTGCCTTATAGTTCTTACTTTGTTGACAGTTGATTTCCTCACAATTAACTTCAAGTTCTTCCATCTAATCTGTGTTGTCAAGGTTGCATTTTTTTTTTAGGAGGAGGCCTTTTCAGTATGTAATGAAGGTGCTCTACCCATCTTACTCATTCTTTTGGATGGTGAGGTCTTTACTGGTCCTTTATAGCTGCAGCCAATCCACTATGAACCTTCAATATAGAGCTTCCATGTTCCCTTTCTGGATTCCATCTCTACTTTCTGATCTTATCAAGTATCTGCTCATTCATTTCTCCTTGCTGAACATTTTACCTGGTTATCTATTTCAGTAGAGTTTTCTTTCTATGTGCTATTTTTTCTTGCACATTAGCACTAAGAAAATTCAGCTGTGCCTGTTTGCTTCCAGTGATGGCATTCCATGTGACTGATTGACCCATCCTACTTTCCTAGCCTTGCAATATCCTGGTACATTTTTTGCTATATCAACTTGGGCATTTCTGATGATCTGCTGAGACCTTTTTCAGGATGGAAAGCTTGCTAGGAGGTTGAAGTTCAAACTCCATTCTTGCTTAGAAGTCCATAAATCATGAGAAATTGATTTTATTGGCTGCTTTCTTGCTGGTAATTATTTTAATTTCATTTGCAGGATGACCTTTAGTATTTAAAAGAGTTCAAAATGCAATGTGAGGCCACTTTTCTAATTTATTTGTCTTATTTTAGAAGCTGGAAACACAGGCTTCACCTCCCAACAAGGTTACCAGATGCAATCACTATTGAAGAGAGGGTCAGGCTACTGAAACAATGCTAAAATAATAATTATGAAGAAGATCTAGGAAAAGATATGTGCTTACAATTATAGTATCCATCACTGGAAAACGAAGGTTTTAATTCTCAGTGACTGGGTTTAATTGCTTTAAACTCAAAGGTTTTAGCCTCCTTTACGTATATGTTTGCCAATCACTGACCATAATTAAACTATCAGACTGTGACACTGCTTGGCACCCTCTTGGTTTGGTTTGCTATTGCTAATTCTTCTTGTATTCATTCCTTAATTCTCTATTTCCTCTTGCTCTTGCTCTCCTGGGTATCACTCTTGCTCTTTCTTTTTACTGAGAAATCATTGTGAAATAGTTTGCACTCATTTCCAGAAGTGCAACTGTTAGATCACTCTGCATGCTATGGGCTGTGTCCTCTCCAGTGACCTTTAAATTATGGGCTAGATTTTCCTCAGCTTGTGACCCTGCTGCAGGCTTTCAACTACAGAAAGTCTCCCTTGGGACTGGCTGAAGCAAACACGACGGTAGCGGAGGTGGGAGATCCATTGATTCAGTAGCCACCCCTGACAGAATTCCTGCTTGGTCACATGTAAAAGGTGCCTTCCTTGATGGAAAAAACACAGAGAAAGGTCATAGTAGTATCAGTCACGGCCCTCCTTGGTTGTTTCCATGTTGTGGAGGTAGACCAGGTCATGGGGATTATCTCCCAACACCAATTTAAAGAATTAGTCATAGTGAGTGTAAATTAATGCGCAGGCCCTGATAGTCACTTTTAAAATAATAGAGCAGTAGATAGTATGACATTCTTTTGATTTTTCTAGTTTTCCCCCTTCCTTTTGATGGCACCTACCTGCTATACCTGCAGTGCCAAGGCTAAGATTAGTTGACGAACAGTGATTTCAGGTACTTTTGGGCCTGTCAATGACATTAAGTGCTTCAAAGTAAATTATGCACCTTCTTCATAGAAAAAATTAATATACAGGAAAATATGGCTAAGGTTAATGGACTAATCACTTGTCCCTCACTTCTGGGATCTCCACACCAGATTTGAAGGTTGAAAAACTGCAGGGATAAAAACTCAATGGCTTAATTGAATTGAGTTGTGTTGTAGCTTCTATAAATATACAAAATTGTCCTTTGCAATGGATAACAAGGAAGATTTTAGTGACCTTTAGCTTGGTGTTGAGTGCCTTTTAACTTGGTCCCATAAATGCTATTGGACTATGGGTGCTATATGGAATCCTATAATGCTGTTGACCTAGGTACTGCTGATAGTACTTCAGAGCAGGGTAGATTTGCATCTTATATAGACTGACCTAAGTAGATATACAAGTGAGCTGTAGTTTGTGCTATACATGTCAACTTTGGTTAGTCTATAAGGTACAAATCTATTTTGCCTTCTATTTGACTTCAGAGAAACATGGTTAACTACATCTCATACTTCAGAGCACTATGCCCTAGCCTGTGTTTTTTTTTGTTTTTTTTAATCATATAATCACTTGCTATATGGCAAAATAAAAATCTGACATTTTTATACTAGACAGACTTTTCAGTCTAATACTAAAATTTTCTCTTTGGGTGAAGAAGAGTAGGGATCTCCCTTTATGACTTGGGATGCTGATGACGCTCTCTCTATCCCTCCCTTCCCTTCACCCCATTTGTTTTCCCCTGATACTATTCCCCATTGCCAGTTTCAAAGCCTCATGTCAAATAAACTGTCCTTTAAATCAGTACACAGCTGAATCAGACCTGTGCTGAATCACCACAGCAGTCGGCATGGCCAGTTTGTACGATGCTTTTATAAATTTGTATATAAGACAGTTGTGAGATACTTGTAATTATCAGTGAATATAACCCAACACTTTAATTTCCTTACCTGCCTTTAGGTACACATTTTATGTTAATAAAGATAGGGCCTTGAACTCCCAACCCAAATAACTTACTATAAAATAACAAAAGACATTCCTTCCTACCTCCATCAGGGAGTACAATACTTTCTGGCTGTTTTCAGCCTTTGCTGACACAGAAAGCTAGAAACTGGGTCTAGAAACTGACCATCTCTCTTGATGATGTGGAATACTCAACATCTGGTTGGACTTTGGTGAGTCTTTTCATTTAGACTAGGGGCGCATTGATAGAGATTTTTGGGGCTGATACTGATAGCCGATTTTTTAAGGAGGCATATTGGCTGAAACCAATCCAATTTCTGATATGTAGCCTGGCAGCTTGAAGAGCAGTGTCCAGCTGGTAATTCTGTTGTGGTGAAAGGGGAGGGGGAAAGGAATGGGGTGGGGCGGGATGGGTTTGGGACAGAGCCACAGCTTGTCCAGGGGCAGCTCTCCAAGCTGCCAGGCTGTGCTCCTGGCCCCATGCATGCTGTAGCTGCACACATGCATGGGGCATTTATTGGCCACATTATTGGCCACATCAAGCAAAAACAACCGATTTCTAACACAGTTGATTTTCTTTATATTGGTGCTGATCTGATATCAAACCAGTGTATTGGTACACTTCTAATTTAGATCTTATTTATGAACCCTAGATGTTAATCTCTGGCCTCTAACTTTAAGGGGAATTACGGTAGGAGACAAATTTGATCAAGCTGAAGTGGGCAAAAGGATCACACTCTTGGGCATGTAGCTGCCCATCACTATCTAATACAAGAGAAAAAACACATCATCAGACGTATGTTTACCATTTATTTTTCCTTTAGAAATCAGGTTGCTAGAGGGGTAAGAGCGTGGACATACAAAACAGTAATGTTGATGTAACTTGGTCTTACTGTTTTAAATTATAAATTATAGAACAGACAATCCGCCTTTCTGAGAGAGCTGCCCAAAATATGGACTATTATAGTACCTCATCAATGGTTGGCATGAAAGCCAGTAATGGATTCATTTAATTGAGCAAATGGCTAGCTGGGAATAAAATTCAATAGAACTGTGGATAAACAGTCCATACACCTGTGTAGCTTACATCAATGCATAGTTGCTTCTGATTTTCTAAAGGATAACTTTACTCCAGAGTTGAGTAGCTTAGACCAGTGTAGGGTTGTGTATTTACTAGGGGTGTGCGAAACAGGTCCTATTCGATTTGGATTTGGATTTGGCCTGAATCAGGGGCAGTGATTCGATTTGTTGATTTGGATCACTGTTCCTGATTCAATTCAGCTGAATCTGAATCTGAAGATTCAGTACTGATTTGGGGAATCAGTGATTCGGAAATAGACACAGCTTTAAATGTTTTTCTACATACCTTGAGGTACCAGCATGGCTTGTGAACACTGTGATGCTGGGGTGGATGGTGTGTCCCACAGGAGTGTGGGGGGGCTGGGTCCATTGGGGTGTGCACGGGAGGCCCCCCCCATGTCCCCCCAGCTTGGCAACTGGCCACAGGGGAACCCCGGGTGCCACCCAGACCCAGGAGGCACCAGTCACTGAGCAAGGGGGGCATGGGGGGCCCTCCCATGTGCTCTCTGGCAGACTCGGAAGTGTACCGGAAGTGTTTCTGGTCCACTTCCGGGTCTGCTGCCAACCATGCTGGGGAGCCCCCCGCGCTTCTGTGGGATACTCCATCTGCCCCAGCATCACAGCATTCACGAGCTGCCAGCTACCTAGAGGTATGCAGAAAAAACATTTAAAGTTGTGTCTATGTCCGAATCGCCGAATCTTTCCGAATCTCTCTGAATTGATTCAGAGGGTTCCGATTCGATTCGGAGAGATTAAATGGTCTCCAGATTCAATTCGGATTCGGAGATTCGGCCACCAAACCAGGCCAAATCTCCGCCAAATTGAATCAGGGACCGAAGCTTCGCACAGCCCTAGTGTCTACTCCACATTTACAGTAGTGTAAAGAAATACTATACTTATGTGAATATAGGTGCCCACACTCTAAGTTATTTATGCTACAGAAGATTGCCATCATCTTGAGTGAGAGAGAAGACTGAGCATCTGTTAGATACATAACATTGTGGAATAAGTGAGGTACTGACCTGATTTGGGCTTTTCCTGCCTAGATATTTGGAGGCCATATAAAATGCTCTTAAATTTAGAGTAGAATCATAGATATTACTTTTGGGCCCAGTTCTTAAGTATAGCAGGGCTTCTTACACCACTCTAGCAGTAGAAATAAGTATCAGGCACTTTGCTTTGGCAATTCTTGGCTATGTGAAGCTTAAAAGAGAAACATTTTGAACTGACAGGGTTAGAAGTAGTGAGTGTTCTATCAGGAGGTAATAAGGATCTTACAGGCCTGCCCAAGGGCTCCAGAAAACACAAAACTACTCTGAGCCCCTTTGAAGGTTCTTTTTGTACAAGCTTCTGAGTACAAAACAGTTCCCACTGGCAGCCAGTGGGAGTTGAGGATGGTCATTGCCTTGCAAGATCTCACTTGGTGAAGTCAGGGATCAATGGACTTAGCTGAAATATCTCAGTTACTTCATGGCCAACATCCTACGTACATGTTTTCTGAAAAGCTCCACATGTGGACCTAACGCATGTGGGTCTGCATCCTTCACAAACCATATCACATCATCAACGGTCCAGGTCGAAGGATTCTTGCTTGATGGTCGAGCCATATCTTTTCTTTCCAGTGAAGGACTTGAGGCTATTGGTAAAAAAAGGAACACTGGTTTACTTGGTTTTAGAGCACTCTTAAGAATGTGCTTGCTACATGGTTGAACTTCAGGCTTTTGTGTGTGTGTGTGTGTTTTGTGGGGGAGGTTGGCAGTTTTGTATTTGACTGCTTACCAGGAGACATGATCCCAGCTGGTGGATTGTGTTAAAAAACATGAAATCCTCAGTCTCCTGCTGGGGAAGGAAAATGTGCCAGCTGCCAGGCTCTTAACAGAACAGCTCCTGCTGTCTGATCGGTAGGCAGCAGGGATATTGGCTCAAGAAGACGCCACCCTCCCACCTGGAGACAGAACACTATGACACTAAACAAAGGAGTTAGCCATCAAGTGCAAAGACTAGAGGAAGAAATGGGAATTTAGCAAATTGTTTTTTCTTAGTGTTCAGAAATTCTGACTTATCTTGTAGTTTAAAGGAGCATTTCTAGTCAATATCATCCTGATCTCAGGCTCTTGAAGCTGAGGATCCCAAATGGATGTCTATTTGGAGAGATACTAAAATGCACTAAGATGAATGTTCCACATGTGACTTTTTAATGGTATAAACCCAGGATGATTTAAGGTCACTTCAGCCTGCTCTAGCTTTAAATCAAAGCAATAAAGGCACATTGGAATGAAAATGCATTTATATTTTTATTCTTAGTCTCTGCAGAATTATAAATCTCACCTTCCACGTGTATGTAACCCTTCTCCTCCCCCTTTTTCCCCTCCCCCCACGTTCCTTTTATGCTGCCTCACTCTTGCAAGAATTATATTATGTTAGGGTACAGGAAAGCTGTTTCCATTTGTTTATAGCTACACAAAGCAAATTTCACATTAGCAGGAAGCAGCACATAGACCCATAAAATGTTATTTGCCAAAACCTGCTTGTCTCTCTTTGTTAGAGCACATTTTTTAACGAGTAGATGCATGCAGTAAGAGACCAGGCATAGGGAGGGGGAAGGAACAGAACAGTCAGATGGAGAGTTGGAAGATACCCAGTGAGTTGAAGAACTGGGGCCTAGAAAAGCCCACAGCAGACAAGAAGTGAGTCTGAGAGGCTCAGAGTCACTGAGGAAAAAAGACCTGAGTTGTCCAAAGATATACTGAACTTGTCCAAATGTAGATCATATATAAGACTGCCATACTGTCAGGGCCACTGATCGGGCATGCCCAGCTTGGTCAAGTACGTGAGTAGTCACACCTGCCCCTAATCCCTGGCTAATGTGACTGCCCTAGTTCCCTGCAACTGGACTGGCTGCTGACAGCGCCACTCACCCCTTATAAACACACCTGCAGCCTTAGGTTTCAAGCACACCTTCTTCATACAACCTCAGTCTGTGGCAAGACTCACATGTGCTGTTCTCTGGTTCTCCTGGCTCCTCACTCAGATTTAGCTTTCTCTGACCCTGATCTTGGATCTGTCCTGAACCTCAGCATGGACCCTGCTCTCTCTGGTGTCCCCAGCAGCTTGGCTTCCTTGACCCTGACCTCAGATCTTCCTTGGGACTTGGCATTGGTTGTCGGACTCCTGGCACCTGACCTTGTCTTACATCTCAGACTACATCTCTTGCAACTCCCCTCTTGGCTCTGGTAACTTGTACCCCCGCCCTGCTGACCCTCAGGTTGCTCCTCGTGGCCTACTGCAGGCCTGGCCGAACCCTCACACACACCATGCTCACTTTGCACGGTACCACATCTGAGCAACGGGCTAGTCTGAAGCTCCCATAAGCTGGCATCCTTTTGAGTTCAATGGAGCTATACTGATTTATATTACCTCGGAATTTGGCTTTATGTACATAATATCTGCTGGATGTGTATATTGATACTTTTGTGCCACAACCATCACCTTCCGGTATAAGATAATGAGGTCTATTTTAGCAATTACGAAGGACAATTTCCAATAAGCAGTTGCACTATGGATGTGCAAATTTGGTTGATGGGCTTCATAATGGGATGTGATGTAAATATCATGATAATTATACTCTCATTTACTAAGTCGCTGTTCTGGATATAAAGGGCAAGGAGTAGCTGCAGGTTCCCTAATTTGATGGCTAGTAATGGCATTCATATGGAATCACGCAACTCTGGGCTCCACTAGCAGAATAAATGCAATGCACAATGGTAAAGAGACCATCTGGAATCTTTGGCATGAAGCAGCAAAGATAGAATGTAAAATGAAAGGCATAAACCTTGCCAACCATTGGATCCTCAGAAATGTAGAATATGTTGTCCATGACAAGTGAAAGAACTAAGATAAATAGTTCTAAGGTAGAGGCTCAACTACAGAGAAATTGCTTCTGATTTCTTTTAGCCTAAAATATCATCTTTTCCATTCTGCTTGATCAAGCTGGTACCCTGCTTTAAATCTAATCCAGCTGCAGGCTGGTGTTTGGAGAGCTCTAGAAACTGCCAATTGGCAGTTCAAATGGGAGCTCAAATGACAAGCTTAAATGGAAGTTTGTCAGTGGGCAGAGGAATCCAGGGTTTCATTCCAAATCTGGCAATAGGAAAATCAAGGCAGAAATGCTGGAGGAACGGATAAGCTGCACCCAAAAAATTCAGAGGAAATTTCTATCCTGACACCATAACTGTACAATGAGAAGCCCTTGATAATGATACTGGTGCTACCTCTCTTCCAGCGTGCTGAATGGGCATAGGTAAAAAAAGCAGGCTAAATCATGTTTTTTATTATGCCATTGTAAATGTAAAGTAATCCCATGGGTTTACACTGGAATACACATTAATCTAAAGGCCTGGAGATACGGCATGTTTACACTGGTGTAAAGATCAGACATACAATGGATTGCCCTACACCAGAGTAACTTTCTAGATCTGGCATCAAGGGTAAAACTACTGGTATAATTTATAGGGTGTAGGCATTGGATGTTTGATTCGGTCTTGAAGTAGCCTTTGAGTGAAAGCAAACAGGGTATTACAGGATCTTACCACCTATTAGTGAGGCAGGATAATGACACCTACTTTAGCAGTTATCCAGGGAAAGTGGTCTTTTGTCCACTCCAGACATCAATGTAACTTACATTAGCACACAACACTAATGTATATTACACTGGCATTAAGGAACTGTGTGTCCAAGACCTCAGTGAGAGCAGAATATGGCCCAGCAGCTTTTGTCTGAAATTCATTGCTTCCAGAAGCACTGTGTAAGGGCAAAGCGAAACAGATGAATCACTAGAAACAGCAGGAAGCTTTACATGTATTAGAAATTTGTTTTACTAGAAAAAAGGAGAGTGAGGAGAATTAAGTTTGAAATGACAAGGAAATCCCATTTGTTTCCTTGCAATAATGGAATAATCAATAACTCGAACCTAATGCAAATACCCTTTCTAAGGAGACCATATTTATAGAACATTTTAAGGTAACTTAGAAAGTCCCTATAAGTTTTAAATAACTTTTTAAAATACCAAATCAGTTACAGAACATATTGATTTTAAAATGACAATTATATTGCAATATTAACTCTTTGAAAGCCTTCTTCACTTGTCTTCCAGGACCCAAGTTCATGGTTCTGCACTTTTCTTGTATGTGTTAGTATCACAAGCACTTTAATCAGATTATTTTCTGGCATTTTAGTTGTTTATTTGGCTATATTTGTTTTATGTGGCTACTGATTTTACATGAATAGTTTATACTGCCTATGAGTAAAGGTTAAAATACCACGTCTTCAGTGAAGCTGAGATATTATCCATTTGTAGACAAAAATCCTGAACTAAAGTAAATCCAATGAATCTCCTTGTCTATATATTTTAAATTGTATTTCAAATGTGTTACTCTGGTTTTGTAGTTGATTGATCCAGGGGCTTAAGGAAAATAGGTTTATTCACAAGTTCTTTTCATTTCACATTTAAATGCAGAACTTGATTCATGTTATACAAGGAAATAAAATCACTTTGCTGAAAGAATCCTCCACTAAAAAACAAAGTTGTTTGATGGTTGTACAGTGAGCACTGTGCATTTTTCTATCTGAAGGTATTCAAACTTAACATGGGAATTAGTTAAGTGAGGAAATCTCATCTCTCATGGGTATCCTATGCCATACTGTCATCAGAATTAATCAACACGATAATGAATACTCAGATTACGAAGAGATGGGAGTGCTCAGTACCAATAATTATTTTTAGAGATCGTAATCTAGGTCAAATCCAATTTCCTGTTTTTGACAGGTGGCAAAAAAAATGTCAAATTAGTGGAACGGGGTATGGAAACCAAGGCAATCAAAGGGAGGGAGAGAGAAGCACTTCTCCATTCTTCCTAAAGCAGTTGATGAGGAAGAAAGGGAATAGATTCTATTTAAAGAACCAAATCTTGGGGAGTCCATGGCAGAATACATCAGAAATAATGAACAGCTGCTGCCCAAGAACAGGAGCATGTCTGAACAACGGAGGACTTCAGCAAAAATTCTGGAACTCAAAGGCATTATCTAAAGCCCACTGAAGTTAATGGGAAGACCCATGCTTACAACCTCAGCTTCTCCTAGCAAAAGGCTCTGTCCCATTTGTGCTTTTCTCTGAGCTCAGTAGTCAGGCCTTCTTCCAATATCTGGAATATCCATAAGGAAAAGGATGACCTAGTATAAAGACAAAACTCAAATTGGTGTAAGAACGTAGCAAAGGAATGAAGTGTAGAAACTGAGATAATATCTGAAAAAGAAGTGTAGATAATACACTCCTTAAATACATGCCAGGCAAACAAACAGGTCCAGGAGGGAATAGGGCATTGATAAATAAGAATAAAAGCGAGTGACAGGTGAACTTTAATATTGCTTCAGGCCTAAATGATTTATTTGCCTTGGGGTGGGAGGAAGGGTCGGCGGGGGGTGGGGGGGGAAGGGATGGGAATGAAATTTTAATGGGTTCTCTCTCACAGCTCTGGAGCAGATAATAAGGGGAAGTTGATCTAGTGAATGTAAACAGAATGATCCAGAATGATCCAGGGTCCATAATGAATCAGACCATTCTGATCTGCTGTGGTTTTT